ACTCTGGTTGTGAAGGTCCCAGATAAAAGTCCATCATGTCCCTGTTGCGGGAACCAGACAGAAAAAAATGTTAGAACTAATTGATAATCTAAAGACACCTCATGGAAGCAAAAAGATCCTGTTTCAGCAAACAAATGTGAAACATAATAGTACTGCCTGCCACTTCACAAAGTGCAAGGGGGCTGTGGAATCTGCCCTGATGGAGGGCAGGAGCTGTGGAGAATGCAGTCGTGTGTTTGAAACTAAAATCAGCCTGACTCAACATAATCGCCTGGCCCACCCAATTACTAAGAATGTGGAACAGATCTTAGCCTCCTGCTGGAAAACAGATATGGCACAGGCAGTGCACACATACTAATGGCTATTGCCCAGCAGTTTGGAAAGCTAGGATCAAAAGACATAACCAACTGTGGAAGCTCAAAAGGATTGGCTAGTGTTTCACAAGCCACTTCCACAAGACCACCAAAACGAGCTCTACAAGCCTGACCTGATATTTGTTAAGGGTGGTGAGGTACTGGCAGTGGATATAACCATCAGATACAAAAGCAAATTATCATCACTTGCTGATGCAGCGGCTGAGAAGGTGAGGAGGTATCAACACCTTAGAGAGCAAGTCCAGGAGGTGACTGTGGCAGTACCTTCCCCTCCTCCCATCCCGCCAGCAGGAAACGAAACTTCTCCAGGAAGGGAGAAGGGGAAGGAAACCCTGGAGGCTGCAGGTTGAAAGTTGAACAGACCAATTGAGATGTGCCAGGTACACCGAGGTGACCCTCCTGGCCAATAGGATTAAATGACCCCAGGTCAGATTCGACAGGGGTACAAACGGGGTCCCACCGGAGGACATATGGGAATCAGTCCTCCTCGGAGCAGCGGGTCTGCCATTGGGGACTCCCCCTCGGGTCGGGGCACTGCCCGAGGTAACTCCTCGAGGGAGAGAGCCCTCAGCTTTTAGGGGAGTGATATGCGCATTTTGAGCCATCACTTTAAATCTTGGGGATTCTTAAGTCGGCCGTGTAGTATTAATTCTCTTTACATCATTGAGCCTGTGGTTTTATAAAATGTTACCAGACTTCTAACTAACTTTTGCTGAAGAATAAATCTGAGTCTTAACATCTGTTGGATTTGGTTAGTCGTGCATCCATAACAGTGACAAGTGCCAACAATATAGTTCGTCAGATTCCGCACTGGAGCAGGTGGGAAGTGGTATGGTGGTAATTTCAGGCTTTTATCTGACCTTGGGCTCTTGAAAACCCAACAGGAAAAGGTGGCTCAACTCTTCTCCAGAAGGGCTTTATTCACATCTGTAGATATTGTACATATCTTCGTGAGTCATGCATGAGCTATTGCATAAAATTAATTTGATAGTACACAAATTACATTTGCGGATTGTCATGATCTAGGGAAATGGATTCTTGTCGGAAGTAAGGGAGGCAGGAGGGACAGTAGGTTGGGACTAAAAGTGACTTGGTAATCACGACACATCATCTTACCCACCAACAAAATCAACTGGCCCTACCTAGGTGGACAGGCTACCTTACTTAACCTGGAAAAGGAACATGTAAATTATGTGTTCAGTAAATAGTGGGGAAGGCATTATGAAAGTTTCACATTGGAACACCTTACTAGACACTAGAATACCCTCCTCCTCTCTCACGTCCAATGAATCTGGAAAGCCAATTAGACATTACCTCCTTCTCCCAGTTGGGATATTTATAATGTCTCTTTATTCTCTGACATCTAATAAAAGGTATGCTCACACTGTAGTCTTCTGCTATTTAATTAAAGACAATCAGCAGGGAGACACAAATCTGCAGAAAACCAGTGTTCATTAATTTTGCTGCCCTCAGAGTTACTTGTTTGCTTTCTGCCACATCCATTCAGACAGGAACTAGTAACGTCTCACACCCAAATGAATTATATGGATTTAATGCTGAAGACAGGAAAAGAAAATGTACTGGAGCACTGAGGTGCTGGCACTGGGATGGAGTGATCACAGAACACATTTTTTGTGTGTATAACAGGCCCAGAATGTGTCTGAACCAATTGTTCATTAGACCACTAGTGTTAGTAGCAGTCTGCCTAGGAGGAGGAATACGTAGGTCCCTCTCCCTTCCTCACAGGTAATTTCCTCAGTGTGGTGGTGTAGCTGTTGTTATTGTAGCTACGACTCCAACTCAGACACTAATAAATTACAAGGTAGAACTTTCCATGTCCTGCTGCCAAAAAAGGGTATCAGAAGAGCTGGGAAATCCAGATCTAGGAAAACTTAATTCACCTTCCAGATCCAGCGGAGTAGCAGATAGGATTCAGCAGCTGACTTAAAATACAACTCACTGCAGTCAGTCCTGACTTTCTGAACAAGAATATGACATATTCACAGCAAAGTCAGAGTTCATTGGGAAACAGATTTAGGTATGGTCGTAGCAATATTCTCTTACAACAAACAACAGCTCTCTGAAGGAAGCCCAGGCTGTCCTTATTGCAGTGCTGTGGGTGGACCCAGCCATAATGGTGGAAGGCGCTGCCCCCAGCTGCCTGCCTCCAGCCTCTTGCCAGAGGTTAGCCCCATGAAGTCTCACACAAGTGCTTTTTAACCTATTTCAGACAAAATTAACTTATGCAGTTTGTTTTTGATAACCTGATGCCTTTGGCTGCAATGGTGTACATGAAGAAATGCTTAGATAGGAGACAGAAACCCTCCACAAGGTGTAGTGATGGGCAGCTGAGGACTGGCTAGTGATCAATGGCTTCTACTGGTACAGCTATCTGCAGCGTTCATATCCGTCTAGTAAACAAAACGTGTAAGATTATACTTTAAAAACTTTGTCACTCCAACTGCTATCACTGTAAAATTTTTTCACATTGTACCTGATCATTTTTCAACACCAAATTCTAATTCACAGCCAAGCACCAGATGCTGTGATATGATCCTTCCCAGATGTAAAGTCTCCGGAGGTTCCATGTCTACATAATAAAAGCTACCCAGGAATATCCTACTTCATTTAATACTAGTCTTGGAAATCTTTCATCTGGTCATTCCAGTACAAAGTGTAACCAGACAGTGCACATGTGTAGTTCCACTAGAAAGTGAACAGCTATTTATAGCCCAGGGAACACAGCACCCAGGAGCACTAGCACAAACAAACACACAAACAGTAAGTCATTAACTGCATGCTTCAGAAGAACACTCTAAGATTATTCTGTCCTTTAATGCCACAGTTCTATGATTTCATTTTCCCAGCTAACACAAGTTTCTTTGAAAGGTAATGCAGCAAGGTCATAGTTATATGGCCAGATCAATCCTGGCCATAGCAAGGGAAAGAAGAGACAGACATGATGACGCAGGAATCTCTCCGATCATAGCTTCCTCTACTTTTTACCTGCTACCAGTGAGCACTTGCCAGAATCCTTTTTGCGTATGTATTATGCAAGATGATAGAAAACCTCTCTACAACCCTTTTTTCCTACTTTGTTCTAGGACATGGACTAATAGTATGCAAGATTTCGTGGTGATTTTCCACCAGCTGCAATAGATGACAGCCTCTCAAGTGCAGTGCAAGAACCAAAGTTAGAAAATTGTTTCCATGTCATCAAGGGAATGTAGGAAATGGAAGGGAGAGTAATTCAGACCTGTGAGTTTGATGCCTACCTAGAGCAAAACAAATCTGTAAATATTGCTTCTTTTCAACATTTAAGGTAGGAACAATCGCGAAGCTCTGATTCCTGTAAACAGTATGGACTTCCAATGACTTCTATGCTCTGATAAGAATTTTGCAAGTTTAACCAGCTTCTCACTTTGCTTCCCCCCTCCTGTGTTGATAAATACTTCTCTTATTCACATTACTGGAAAACAGTAACGATGTCCAAGTTTGGAGAATAAACACCTTCTTGGGCTCAATCACTGATCTTCTGTTACTTAAGAATGTTTGAGATGATTAACAAAAATAAGGAGTCAAGGTAACTGGACGCATGGGCAGCAACTTTAATATTTTCAATTCAGTTACCCAAATTACACACTCGGTATCTCATACGATGGCGTAGCCCGTGTTAGCAACTCTGGTGTTCTCAACCACCACGCACACCTTCTGCTTCGGATTTCTGTGCCAGCCTGGCTGGACACAGCCTCTTCTTTTTGCAAATACCACACGAAGCAGAGGAGCATGCCTCAGCAAAAAGGCCTCTGGAGGCTTCTTTCGGAGCCGGGCAAGCAGTGCTTTTCAGCCTTCGGCCCACGAGCTGTGCATTTCCACCAAACACCGGCCTCCATTCCAAAACCCCGGGACGCGCAGGCCTGCGCTCATTCCCGACTTCGGAAAAGCTTCTCCTGGCCTTGGACCGCGGTGGGGGGGGGCTGGGGGCTCCTGCCAGGGCGGCGCCATCCAGCTCCCCGGAGCGAGGCCACAGCCCAGCGCCGTGGGCAGCCATTCGCCTGCACAACCCCTGCCAGGCGAGACCGCGCAGAGGGCTGCCGCCGAAGGAGCGGGACAACCCCCTGCCTCACAACCCGCCGCCCGCCGCCCTCTCGGCCGCCGCGCCCGCCCTGACAGCGGCGG